ATCCCTCAGTGGTCCCCTTTTCCTCCTCCTTCCCCATCGTAGGCATAGTGAATGCTCCATCTCACCCACACCTCGACTGTTTCTTACCTTGTCGGGTCAGGCAGGAGCGGCTCCGTCCCCTCTGGCTGCTTCTCACTCTGATCCAGCCAGGCTGAGGACAGCTTTAAGTGCTGGGGGAGGCAGGGGCTGCCTGACCCCCACCCACCATCTCAAGCCCCCTGTTAGTGCCTGTGGGACAGCAGCTGGAGTGGGGAGAGCACCTGTGTGTGTATGTAATGGGGAATTCCCTGCTGGAGCCACCCTAAAATCCCCTGTGCCGGCTGGGGCTGGGGGCATGTGGGAGTGGCCAGTACTGGCCTGGCTGACCCCCTCCCTGTGCCCCCAGCCACATCCAATACCATTTCCCAGGGCCCTTCTCCCACCCACGCCTGGATGAAAGCAGCAGAGGGTCAAGTTTCTGCACCCGGCAGCTGGGGAGTAGAGGGATGCCCCAAAGGGATCAAAGCAGGAATCTGCCTCCTCCTGGCTCTTTGTGCTTTTGTTGGCTTCAAAGCTGGTTTTAAGGGGAGCACCCTACAGGCTCCCCCCCAAGATCTGTGAGCATCTGACTCACTGCTTTGTGTGGCCAATTTGTGTGTGTTCTTTGGGACACCAAAGATGTCACCCCGATGTAGTTCAGGTCCCATCAGGGGTACAGGGGTGTCTTACACCTCTTGCTCTTCCCAACAGCCAGACTCCCCACACAGCCAGCCCAGCCCCCTTGCTGGGAGACACTCCAGGTGAACTGTGGTTCATCCTGAGCGTGCTGTGCCCATTGGGGTGGCAGATGCTGGCTCCCCGTGGGAGCAAGATCCACAAAAAGCACATGCCTGCCTGGGCACTCGCTCCTGTCAGCTCATGGGTGTACAGCAAGGGGCCTCCCGGCACATTGTTGGGTGGATGTGGGTGGCTGAGGGATCCCACCCCAGATGGGCTCTCCCCACTGTCCATCTGCCTCTGTGCCAGCTCCTGCACCAGCTCTGACATGTCCCCAAGTCTTGTGTCCAGACACTGTCCCCAGGGACTGGGTCCTCCAGCCCCAGGACATCCCCTTAACTCCCAAGGCTCAGCATAGGGGGAAGGCAGAAATAAACAGAGAGGCAAAATGTGAAAAACAAGAGGTTTTATTCCAAAATTTGAAAGCCCCCAAGACAGCAGAGCCAGCCCCTGCTTAGTGTGGCCAAACACTGGAAAGAGCCAGACGCTTTGTGCGAGTTCAGCAGCGGAGCTGCCGGAGCGGCGCCACGGCAGCGTCACAGCGGTGCCACAGCCACCACCCCACAGCACCAGCCCAGGTCCCACAGGGAGGGGACAACCAGCACCAGAATCACTGGCAGAGGCAGGAGAGGACACACCGTGTCTCATCAGCAAGCTACCCCGCAGGATGTGACGTTGTCCCTGAAAATTCCATAAAGGCGTTGCTCCCCAGCGGCTGAGCCGTCTGTCCTTCCCGCCTCTCGTCACTCGAACTTGGGCCGGGGGGCAGCTGGATACCCACGGATGTTGAGCAGCAGGAGGAGGCCGAGGGAGAGGGTGGCCGGGGCACACATGGCCAGCGGCTCCTGCAGTGCCAGCAGCGTGTAGATGGCACCTGGGCATGAAGCAGAGCATAGGAGTGGGCGTCTCTGGCCAAGGGTGCCCCGAGACCCCACGATGGGCAGTGGGTGCCCACTGGCTCTCACCGATCATGACGACGCTGAGGATGAAGTTGCTGATCTCTTGCAGTAGCTGAGGTCCAAATGCCAGCAACAGCCCGGCCGTCACCTCCAGCCAGCCCACGGCCGCCAGGTACCTGCCTGGCTCTGGCACAAACCCCAGGTCCTTCAGGGGAAACACCTTGGCAAACCGCACGAACTCTGATGCCTGGGAAGGTGGGAGAGGGGTGAGGCAGCCCTGAGCCTGGGGCTGAGGAGATACAGCCCCTCAGTGTGTCTGTCCTACCCTGTCTTCCAAGAGGATCAGCTCTGCATCCTAAATAACTCAACCACACACCCTAAGGGGATCAGCCCTGTGCTCCATTGGACTCTGGCTGATTCACAATGAAGGGCTCAACCTTGTACCCAAAATGCTCCACCCTGAACCCCTGTAGTCTCAGCCTGCTCATTCTCACCCAAGGCTCAGCTCCGCACCAGAATAGGGTCAGCCCTACGTGTTTCCCCTGGAGCTCATCCCTGCACCCCAACCTGCTCCTTTCCTTTCCCCTGGAGCTCATCCCTGCACCCCAACCTGCTCCTTTCCTTTCCCCTGAAGCTCATCCCTGCACCCCAACCTGTTCCTTTCCCCTGGAGCTCATCCCTGCACCCCAACCTATTAATTTCCTTTCCCCTGGAGCTCATCCCTGCACCCCAACCTGTTCCTTTCCCCTGGAGCTCATCCCTGCACCCCAACCTATTCCTTTCCTTTCCCCCGGAGCCCAGCCCTGCACCCCAACCTATTCCTTTCCCCCGGAGCCCAGCCCTGCACGCCGAAGTGGCTCTTTGCTCTTTGCACTGCCCCCATCCTGCTCACTCCCCGGGCTCGGCCCTGCGGCCGCCGCGCTCACCATGTGCCGGTGCAGATCGGCGGAGAGCCAGTCCGAGACCTTCAGGACGCCCGTGAGGAAGAAGAAGATCCCAAGCAGGACACGGAGCGCGGTGAAGGCCGCCGCCATGGCGGGACGGGCGGGCACAGGGGCGGAGCGGGGCGGAG